CTCAATATATAATAAGGTCATTTTTATAGTTATTATTATCGTCATTTAACAATTATATTATTACTTGTTTATTATTTAATTCTCACAACTTGCCTTGAATGAAAAATATGTCCACATTTACCACATTAATGATTACCAATTAATGATGATTACAACATCACGTAACATATACTCCCTCCGTTCCTAAATGATTGATGTTTTGGAAAAAAATCAAATTTCAAAAAGATTGATTTTTTACCTTTTCAATATATGATTTAATGAAAAATTGTAAGTTTCAAAAAAAAATTAATGGTGTTTATTGAATTTATATTGGCTAAAAGCTATGGAAAAATTTTATTCATAAAAAACAATGCATTTACAATCAAAATTTAATGAGCTTTCTTAATATATGTGAAAAGTATAAAACATCAATTTTTAAAAACAGAGGGAGTATTGTATAAATTTAATTCACAAGATTGATTGGTAATAATTAAGAATGATTTATGTTAACGCATTAAATTCAGAACATCTATATAGCAATAAAAAGAATGTAATAAATAATACGAATATATTATTTGATACTAACTTATCGTGCAGCCATATCAACACTTATATATATCTTACATTTTCTTATGGTTTACATTTTAAGTTGCTTATTTTCTTCAAAGCTTAATCTAATGACGTTTTTTACAAAAAATAACTTATTCTGTTATCTGCAAGGACTATGATGAAGAAAATATTGAAGTTATTAAAGAATCATGTTATTGGGCATCAGCAAAGGATCTACGCAAGCTGTTTTGTGTCCTATTACTAACACATAGTATCACAAATCCAGAAAACGTTTGGAATGCTACTTGGAAAAAACTATCACAAGATATATTATGAAACCAAAGAAAAAATACGGATAAACTAAGTAAACTCATGTTTTTATCAAAAGAAAACGTCATTAGAAATTGTGTTTGGGTAAATATAATTTTTTACATGTTCTTTCAGACTTGGAGTAGATTGAATCAATCATTCTTTTGAACGGAAGCTCATTGACGTTGTTTAAGTTTTGAATGTGTTATCAATAGTATACTCTTCTATTGGTTAAGCTGTGGCTTTTGTTAGAATTTCTATTAATTGAATTTTTTGTTTTACTTTTGTGGAATTCACGTTATTGTAATGTTATAAATTAATAATAAAAGCATTTTCTCATTATTTTCGTATAAGTTCTTAAGTTTTATTACATCTTCTTTTTCATAGTATTGTCTTATAACTTTTATTAGATCACTGAAACAAAAAGTGAATTGATGTATCAAATGTACTAATCTTTAATGACCTAATTAAATTCGGTTGTCCCAAACCAGAATAACGAGAGAGAGAGAGAGAGAGAGAGAGAGAGAGAGAGAGAGAGAGAGAGAGAGAGAGAGAGAGAGAGAGAAAGAGAGAGAGCGAGAGAGAGGGATATGTGTAACAATTCTTTTAATCTGTCTACATACATTTTATGAAAAATTTATGCATAATAATATTTTCACCTAAAATAAAGAATTACAACACATATACAATACAATTCTAATTAGTGATAATAGAAAATATGTTACTTATAAAACTACACACTATTAATTTCAGATTTGGAAAATAAAATTCAACCTTCAACACACAATTTTTTTTTGTGATGTTGCAATTATAAATACACACAATAACTACCTATTGATACTGGTTACTTTATTCCATCTCCTCCATGTTAAATATTGTGTACCGGCATTTTTTTGTGCTTGAAGCTTTACCTCAAAGACGGTGGTCTTATGATATAAAATCTATTACTTCTAAAACTTTGAATTATTAAGTCCATAATTTGAATCTGTATTTATCCGCACAGGGTGCGGGCTGGTCACCTAGTAAATTAGTAAAACTGTTAAAAGTCTCACATAAGCTTTTATGATCAAAGTTTAATTTTTTTTCTATATTAAGATACTATTATTATAAGAGAATACGAAGAAATAATTTTATTTTAATAGGTCTTATGTTAATATATATACATACATACATTATATATATATATATATCATTTAAATTAAACTATACATCGTATGAAAATACATACTAATATTTTGATATTTGCATTGAACATATATAAAAATTTAATATTTTAATTTTAAAATCTGTCATTTTTTTTTAAACGATTATAAATTATTGAAACTACTAAACATCTCTCATTAAAAAGAAATTCGTTGGTTTAAAATTTTGTTATACAATTATGCAAATAGTCATAAAATCATATGAGTAGATACCTGATTTAATAAATATACATACTAAAAGTTATCTATGTTAATATCATTTAAATTTAATTATATATCATATACGATAGATAAGTTTGATTGTTTTGATTTATTTCTCTTAATTGCGAATAAACAAGAGTGATCATTAGATTTATACACACACGCCAATTTCTTATATAATATTAACTGATTTCTTATTTATTTAATATATATACTTATTATATTATTATTTCATAATATGTAGAAAACAATAAAATAAATAATAAATATAAAATATTTATTCTGCAAAAAATGCAGATCTTAGCCTGAGTATGTATCTCTTTAATTATTTTAAATCTTAAGCATTATCTAAATCTTAGGTCAAAACAAACAAACGAAATGAGAATAAACTTCAAAATCAATATTTATGTCGAGCAATAATCAAAATGAAAAAGACACAAAAAGAGAAAAATATTGAAGATAGATAGGATTGGAACGTGAACGTAAACTTCTCATAACCATAACTATTTTTTAAATTGTTAAATCATGATATAAAACTGAACTGACATAGTTCATTGTAACCATATAGATCTGAGATTTTTTGACCTAAATGTTAAGTTCTTTGAGGTAATTGATATTTTGACCTAAAACATTTTAAAAAATGAGATCAGCTCACCAGTAAAAAATTATGTAATTAACAAAAAAAAGTTTAAAAAATTGTTTAAAGACCAAAATATTAATTCATCTAAGAAATAAATTTATTTTCCAGATAATATTTTTTAAATAATTTTTATATAAATTTATCATGCACAAAGCGCATGTCTTATCCTAGTTATATTGTATTCTTCAGTTCCGGTTAAGTTTGGATAATTAAACTAGGAATCAACTATTATCCAAAACTATTTGGGTTCAAATTGGGTCTAGTTCAGTTTTCTTTTAGATTCATATAAAAACAGCGGATAATTTAGGTAAAGTTTCGCAAAACTTAGGTGGTCCGGATTTAAAAAAATAGAATTCTTTTTAGATTATTTCAGATAAAATATATGGATACTCTTGGATAATTTGGATATCTTTTTCGGATACTTCAAGATATTTTGAATAGATTTATAAATTATATTTATAGTTATTTGCTTATTCATATTTCTAGATATCTCTTGTTATATATTTTATGTAGATAATTGTATTTTGTATATTTAGATAATGGATGGTTCGGTTCTGAGTTGGTTTGGATATTTCGGTTGTGGAAATTTGTAAATTCTAGTTCGGTTCATGTTTTTTGTTTTGTTTTTGTTCGGTTTGTTTTTTTTTTTGCTTCAGTTCTTTGGTAGGCCTAAATATGGCATTGTGACCGGGCTGTTGAAGAATCAAACTGGAAGAAGATGACATGAGTCAGTTGAGACAAGAAGGACGGAAACAACTTTTGATTCACAACATAATTTCGCTAAATCACTGAGAGTACAGCTTTCAAATATACAAGAAATGAAGAACCTTGTGTTTATCATAGTGGTTGACAACAGAGTTCTTGATCTCACGACATATAAGTGGAAGGAACAACGACAGATATATCATATATGGAAGGAACAGCTTAACTACCTCGACCGATTCTCAACCCAAATTTGCTTGGCTGCTGGAGCATGGCAAATATTACTGATTTGCCGTCCTGAAGTAAAGCTCATACACCACCTGATGTTTTAAGGGGGGGGGGGGGAAAGACAAACATGGTGTTCGTTCGTATATCTGCCAAAAACGAAAAATTGAAGTGGCCCATACAGGTTTCGAACCTGTGACCTTTGCGTTATTAGCATGACGCTCTAAACAACTGAGCTAATAGGCCGTTTGTTCAGTTATCCTACTGAATGTAGAAAAACAGATTTGACTAAATGTGCAACCTTGAGTATAGTATGGTTATGCAGAAATATGATGCTGGTTTTAAGAGCCTAAGGAAGAATACACTTGAAATATTAGTACCCCATGTTAACGTTAACACAATTAAAACAAGTATTAATGTAGTAACTGATGCAAACAAGTTTTGAATGCTGTTCAAGATCGCATCTGGTTGTACCACAAGGATTAATGAACGTAGTAAAACTGAAAGAAACTTATGTGTTACCTGAGCCATTGGTAATAGGTATAGGAACAGGGTGGTCACTGAAGAAGTGTTTGTCTCGAAGATCTGCCACAGTTCATGAACACAGAAACATAAGCAGTTAGACAATAAAATATACTTAATAAGAAACAGAGTTCGGTTACACCAATTTTGACAGAAGACAGTGTAATCAGCATTTCCTCATAATTGCTATATTTAGACAATGAGTGGCTGCTTACATGCAAGCAAGAAGCCATTTGACCGATAACATATAGCAAAACTAATTTAAAACAGAAAGAAGAAAACATCAAGAGAACTACAAAGGAACAAAACAGAACCAACGAACATGAGATAATGTCTAGAGAAGCTTGAGCAATGACTTGAAACAGTCAGAAAGAAGAGAAAGCAAAGTAAAACTCAATACTTTTTTATAAAGAACACAAAGACCAATTACCCATCGCACAATTATACACGATCATCCAGTAAAAATATGTTTCCTAATCATTCAGATGGATATGACACTCTAAATGATTTCACGTTTGTCAGGATATCATCATCATCACTTGTTAAGACCAACCCAAACTGTTATATGCAAAAGATTCGATTTTTTCGACAGTCACGATACTACTGGTAAATATGAAACAGAGTCGGATTACACCCATGTTGACAGAAGATAATCAGCATATCCTCATAATTGCTACATTTAGCCACTGAATGGCTGCTTACATGCATATGGTTAAGTATCACTACAAAATGTGGGATACGATAAGCCATTTGACCTCACAAAAATTCATTGAAACAAAAAGAAAAAGATCAAAGGATGAAAGGACCAAATCAAAATAGAACCAACGAATGCAAGGCAATGTCCACTAGTGTTAGTGTAATAGCCAGAGAAGCTTAAGCAATGAATTGAGCAATCAAATCAAGTTTATGTTATATGGTCAAAAAATATGTTGAAGTAGACGATGAGTAACTTAATTAACTTACATGTTCGAAGTCATTTGTCATGTATGATGAAGCCAAGAAAACGGGAAACTCTGAATGGATCTAACGAGTTTGAAAGTCAATCAAAAAAGAAGAGAAACAAGTAAACAATCAAGACTTTTCTTATAGAGAAACAAAGACCAATTAGCCATCAAACAATTCTACACCATCATACCCTTTGAATTAGACCTGTCTCTAAATCATAAACAGAGAGAAAAAAACACATTTTCAGAATACTAGGACTCTAAAATCATCAAGATCATCTAGCAGATCATCACTTGTTAAAACCAACCCAAACTCTATTTATATGCAAACTTCACTATGATTCAATTGCGAAGACACTACTGGACTCTAAAAGATTGAACCTTCTTCAAGATCATCAACATCACTTGTCAGAACCAACCCAAACTCAGTTTATATGCAAAAGATTTGATCTATTCGATAGTCATGATATCACTAATTAGACTCTAAAAGATTTCACCTTCTTCAAGATTATTAAGAAGATCATCATCAATATTAGTTTTTAAAACCAACCTGAACTGTTTAAGCAAAGATTGATCTCTTGCTTTGCGGGAGCCACCAATGAGATTTATCAGTTCTTTCTCTGTAATCGAGGAACCTTGTTCGAACTCACGCTTTGATATTGCTTCTTCTTCCAATTTTATTAACACAAGCCTTTCCTCTTGTTTGATTTTGATCCTTTCCTCCATCATTGCTTTATCTTCAACTTGACTCCTTTCTAGAAACTCCTTCTCCCTTGTGATCGTCATCAAAGCCTCGGACTTGTTACTACTAGACTTCACAATTATATCTGCAAACCTAATCTTTAACGCTGCTGCACAATCAGATTTGATGAGGAAGAAGATAAGAACCACTGATCACGACTCATCATACTTGTTGTTGTCGTCATAAAGTCAACAAAAGTTCATGTTTCTATGGTTTAGTACTTTTCCGATCAGGGACATACAGTGTTCTTTGATAACAAAGGAATCGTCTTGATCAAGCAACTTGATTGGAGAATCATCATCCTCACAGAGGATTCCTTTGCCCTTGATATCTGCCTTATGGACATATCCTGATCGAGCTACGGATCCCATACTTATGATACAGATTGTGATTGTCCCGTTGGTCTCGTTGCAGAAGAGAAATTGTGGTGAGAGACACAGAACAGAACGGTGGTGATTGTCCCTTTGGTCTCGATAAACACTTCGATTTGTGACTGATTCAGCTGTCAAAGGACAAGCCAATCTAATGATTATGTGGGTTGTTTTTATCCATGTACATGTTGTAACTTATGTCAATGTGTATACTCTTATTCATTCATATGTGTAGAAAGTAGAAACCATATATAAGGGTTAGAAAATAAACTAGTCCAAGTAGCTTAAAACAAGCATTTATACAACATGATCTACATTAGCAGGTAAATCAGAGTAAAATGAACTGGTTTTAGGCCCTTCTTCTGGTCATAACCTCTTGAAGAAAAACTTTGTATCTTTATAACACGATTCTGTTTTGGCTAAGTTCTTCGTTTAGCTGCATTTTTCTCAACTCTATATGTTCTTCCTTTCCTTTCATAGATGTTCTCTTCCTCTAGTGGCCAACGTAGAACAAAACAGAGCCAATCATTATATCTTCATAATGAAGCATTGGGGCACAGCTCTTCACTTTGTCGACGTTGGATCACTTATAGCCGTGATCCTCGTCCTTATCATTGTAGTGCGTTGTCATGAATACCAAACCAGAGACAGCTATATTTTCTGTGGTGTTAAGTCTAAATCTTTCTTTTTTTCTTTTAAATCTATTTTACTTCTTTTTTTTAATGTTTTTTACTCATTTTATATGGCAATTTGATTTGTAACTAATTGTGGAGTAAATTTTTGGATTCACCTTTGAGGTGAACCCAGATTTTATTCTGTTTAATATTAAGAAATTATATTGAAAATCAATAAAATAGGAAGCATCTGTAATTTTTAACTTGAGTTTAAAGAAAAAAAAAGTAATTATCAACGGCTAAATTTTAGAAAACAAAGGAAATAACCAATGCATTAATAAATGATTGGATCCTCAAAAAAGGAAATCGCTACAAACGCAATCTTTATAAACGCACTCAGATCCTTAACGAAATAGTTTTTGCATACACTCTTCTCTCGCAAGACAACAACAACACTCCCAAATTTAGGGTTTCTTTCTCTGATTCGTTGTCTTCTTGCTTTTAGTTACTCTTCGATTTCATTCTCTCTACCAATGACGACAGTAACAAGTATGAGTCGGGATCCTTGGTTCTTGTCTTCTTCCTTGTCAAAGTCTGATCGTGCGGCTGCGTTAAAGATTAGATTTGCAGACATAATTGTGAAGTCGAGTAGCAACAA